CCTTTTATTGCCGCTTGTAACCGCACCCTTAATTATCTAATTACATTACAGTTTGGTGCTTAAAGCTACAAACACTTAAACCTTGGTTTATATATTTATTCACCCAAACCAAGTTGGTGTATCAATATACCCAACAGTTTCACTATGCCACAAGTTACTAACGTTCTTATTTTTCATGGAAAAAATATTTTTCCAGCCTCCAGGAAACCATGTGTTCATTCCTTTTAGCACAATACTCTTCCACATAGTATTCACTTTAAATCTGCAATGCAATACTGAACATATATTCCTTTGAAATATATAATAGGTTACAAAAAGAAATGACTTTTCCTGTTCTATGGTATACTTTATTTTATTACTATTATAAAACTTTTAAAGCACATTTAACCAACTTGAAAGTAATTCAGGTTCTGGAAAAATCTCTGTGGAAAAGTTTACATGTGAAAATCTGACAGAAAAATACTTCTACTTGACTGCAACTGCATTGAGCACTGAAATGTTTGTCTCAGATTCTGATTGTATTCCCACTGACCTATTAAAAGAGCTTTCTTATTTTCATTTTGAATCTAGTAATCAGTACTCTGCACAGTTCAGTTATTCCAAGACTCTGATTGTTTGGACTTTCTCAGCATGTTATCATATTATATCTATAAAGGACTGGTTCTTATTTTAATGTATTCAGTCACCATGATGATCTCATTTTGTGCCTGGCCTTAGGGCTTTTCAATAGATTTGTAAAATCAACCATAACTTTCCTGCACTATATAGTGTGCATGAAAGGATAACTGGATTATTCGTTTTTTTAGACTGACATTGCTGTGAAATGAAAGGTTAATATTCATCAAAACATATTTCTTGCACTACGCCTTCCCTTTAGGATGATCTCTGTAGATCAGATAAATATATTTATAAAATCTGCACATATTTATAAAATTTAAATCAAATCAAATAACTAATTGGGATTATTCCTTGCAGAATCACCATGGATATACAACTTCTGATGATAAGACAGGATATTTGTAATATAAAGAGAGATTTTCACTTTGTACAGACTAATCTCATTTGTACTATCTAAATTTATTTTAAAAATAAAACTATTCTTAAGTTTAATACATTAAATATATTACATTTAATATATTGCATTAAATAAATTTAATTTAATTTAATTACTGGAGATTTTTAAGAAAAAAATTGGACAGCCACCTATATGAAATGATATAGGGTTGAGCAGAAAATTGGACTAGAAGACCTCCAAGGTTCCTTCCAGTTCTATTCTGATTGAAGTAATTAAGTTATTCAGTTATGACATGCACTTTCTATAATTTGCAATGGTTTAAACACCAAAATAAACTCTACCACTATGCATACATTAAGGGAAAGGTCTTATTTTGAAGAAAACTGTTTGCAAACATTATTTTTCTAATAATATATTAGTATTAATATGCACTCAAATCCATTCATATTTTCTTACATTATTTAAGAACTCAATGGATGAGTAAAGTCACGAACTATTTATAGTTGATCTTGTGAGATCATTAATATTCTAAAGTTTTGACAAGTTGCTCTGACATTTGATGTCATGTCATGAGATTTTGAATTTCTAGGAAAATTATCTTGAAGTTTTAGTATTGTCTTATGACATAATATATTTCAAAATTTTCACATGAAAGCTATATTTGGCCAATAAATCATTAAAGCAGTGGCTTAATGAGATTTTGACAATCTAAACAAATATTTGCTTTACCATGGACTTGGGAGGCTGTTACACATCTAGCTAGGTGCATCTACTATTGAACTGCAAATAGTCTGAGGAAAAATTAAGATTTGGAATAATAATCAAAACTAAATTTGACAGTTTCATCAATCTATAATGGATTCATTTAAACTGATTTTAGACATGGCTTCAGTAAAAAGATGTTTTGATTGATGTTTTGATCTTTGATTGTTTTGATTGATCGAATGGATGATGAGTTCTAAATTAAGGATAGGAGTCGTAAATCTCTGGGATTCTTTTGTGACTTTTCATGTTACTCTAAATCTATTCTTGATGTGGAATCTGTGTTTCAGATGGACAATGTTGTATAGAGGTTCTGCTTCAGGATTTATTCCAAAAAGGAATGTAATAGTCACAGTTTTCCATTCTGTCAAGCTCTTTGATGCTGCCTAGTTTATTGAATTGCTGATGACATATAGTTCTCATTCTTCTTTTTATGAGATTGAGAATAAATTGGGACAAGTTAGTGTCCAATTGTTACTTTTTTCCTTGAACATTTTTAATTCACTCTTCAGCAATTTTTTTTTCTGTATAGGAAAAGCAAAATTACAGTTATAGAGATAACTAGTATTACTTGGGATAAAGTAATGCATGATTAATTTGGAAGATAAAAATGTCTGAAAAGTACCTTATGTGATACTAAATGACTAAGATTGGCATCAGAATTTGCCTTTTTCAAGAATGATTTTCACCAATGGCCTTCTATCACTGTATCTTGGAGAACATGTGGGAATTCAAAAAATTCCTCTGCAGGTGATTACAGAAGGTTGTGTTTTCATGTTGCCAGATCGGAAGCCATTCATAAATAAGAGCATATTGTTGGTTACTGGTTTTGCTCTGATTTACATTAATGTATTTTTTTCACTTTTCATGGCTGTGTTTTAAATGATATGCAAATCTAAGATATTAATTACTGTCAGTAACTTATGAATTAAATAAATTAATAATCTATACAAAATGTATATTATTTACCTAACTACTTACATGAATTTCTATATTATTCAGACTTCAATATACCAATTAGCACAGAAGTAAATGTTATTGTTTACTTTATTGTCATTGCACCTCGTACAATGAAATCAAACACCATCTTCAGTGTACATCATGACCTTGAACATGAAAATAAACACAAATATACATCTTTCACCCTCCACACATTGAACTGGAAACCCCCGACACCACACCAACACTGCACTATACAGCAGAATTCAAAAGAGCTACTGCCCTGGGATAGAAGCTGTTTTTCAGCCTATTTGTCCTTGTTTTTATTATTCTGTACTGTCTGCCAGATGGTAATAGTTCCAAAAAAGGGTGCCCAGGATGAGATGGATCTTTGAGAATGTTTTGAACTTTCTTAAGGCAGCAGAGGGAAAGAGCAACCAATAATCTTCTGGGCAATGACATTAACACTCTGGAGTGCTTTCCTATCTGCCACTGTGCAATTGGCAAACCATACAGAGGAGCAGTATGTTAAAATACTCTCTATGGCGCATTTTATGGTGTTTTTCATTCATTTGTTTTCTGAGAAGTCTCAGGTAATATAATCTCTGCTGGCATATGTTTGTGGTTGTTGTTTTTTTAATATGGTGACATTTTAAATGCTGTAAGTCACCTGAATCAACTATGTGTGAGTTGGATAGTTATATAAATGTGTTTAATAAATAATGGATTGTTCTCATAGATTACAGTCACTCTAAAATGTAATATGGAGTTGAAATATTAAACATGCATGTTTATATATTCTCATTTTTTTTTAATTTTGGGATTTTTTTAGTTTTTACTTTTTGTATTTCTATTTAATATGCTTTCTTCCTAAAAATACTAGCAGTATTCCTTTGGAACATTTAACAGCCTATTATTTGGCAGAAAAAGGAAGCAAAGGTAGTTTATTCTGGATCTTCTTTTTCTCCTGCTGAATTTACAGTTGGTGGAATTTAAGCTATATTAAAATATCTATTTATATTCTTTAGTCAAACAATTTAAATCAAACTTAATCAAGAATGTACATAAATCATTGGTTTACTTTTCATGTTTAAACAGACCTATATGTTCATAAATCTGATTTCATGTACGGATGTTGATCAGCTGGTTCAGTGGCAGTATTTCACAAAAGTTATATTTTGTAAATATATAGATGGAGAAGAAAATGAAGAATATATGAAAATAAGACCAAAGATTGTTAAACTGCAGTCTTATCAGTCCCTGGAGTCCAATCATACTCTGACTTCTTGCATAGGCAATATTTTTCAATATCTGATAATCCTCTGTGCATAATTTATAATGATTATTATAAATTCTGTTAACTTCTACCGGATCTGGATTGCAAACATTCAAAGCAGCATTAGATGACAGTATTTATTTATGAATACTTATACTAAGTGATTGTCACCCTTTTACTTATTACTGTTAATTGTATGGAAAACATCTTAGTGTCTGTAAGTCTGACGGCTACTCCTATACTATAGACTAGACTATAACATTCTGACCAATAGGAATATATAATCTATAAAATATTAATAAATATTATGTGTACATATATAATAATTACTGGACAATTTGTATTTTATATTTGTATTTCCTAGGTGTCTGCACTGTGTACACTAGGTTACTTTCACAAGCTGTACAATTCCTCTCAGTGCAGTTGGGCCACTGAAGTTCCCACTCCAATGTAAAGCAAAGAGACATTATCACAGATGATCCAATTTTAGAACTGCCTGTATTCTCCCTTTCTTGATTTGAACAGCATACAGGATGCAGTTTGTACTTACCTGTACATTCAAAAGCTGGATTTCATTTCTAAGATACATTACAGTGTGCCATGCCTTGAAAAAGACAGAAAAAATGTGTATATAGAAATAGGCAATTTAAGTATAAATTAAGTATAGTTGCTTTCCTCTTTTTTACAGCTTGCCGGTCAGGATTTTATAAAGCATTTGCTGGAAATATAAAATGTTCCAAGTGTCCTCCACATAGCCAAACCTTCGTGGAAGCAACATCTGTATGCCAATGTGAAAAAGGTTACTTCCGAGCTGATAAGGATCCACCAACTATGGCATGTACCCGTAAGTTTAATTGATCCTCGTGTTTAAAATTCTTCCCCTTCCTTCTTTATCTTAAAGGATAAAAACAGCATTTGTTTTTGCTAATCAAAAATGCAAATTAGTTTTTTCTTTAGACTCAAGACACTTCTGTGTTGAAAAAGTATCCCTCAGTCTTATGTAGTATCAAAACAGCAACACACTGCATTACATTATTAATAGAATAATGACAGTTTAGGAATATTTCGGGGGTAACTAGTGTTTATTTTTCTGGATGTGATTCTGGGTGTAATATATACTATGCACTGATTATTAACAATACATAGATAAACCTTCTGAAGGATCCAGGACTTAAACTGCAAGCTGTGTAAGAGTAAATTTTTTACCTTTTCCTTTCCCTGCACAGTCTGGGAGGATGGATGAGTAAGATTATAGGCACATCCTTGATATTAATGTTGCTGTTCTTTCTGAAATATTCATTTGATTCCTTTGATTATACTAAGTTTCTTAGGTGGGACCAACTTACCTGCCTATGTAGTGGATATTATATACTTTTCCTTTAATATAATAAATATAATATTATAAATATAATATAATAAGCATTCCCTAATTGTTAGGTCTGAAGAAGATTGGAATATAATGCATACACAATTTAAAGTTATCCATGTATTTGCTTGCCTAAACAAAATATATAACATAACGAAATTCCTGAGTGTATTACTCACAGATGTCTGCCAAAAGGCTGTGACTGCCAGGCTTTTCCCCCTAATCTGATATGCACTGCTCAAAAAAATAAAGGGAACACTTAAACAACACAATGTAACTCCAAGTCAACCACACTTCTGTGAAATCAAACTGTCCACTTAGGTAGCAACACTGATTGACAATCAATTTCACATACTGTTGTGCAAATGGAATAGACAACAGGTGGAAAGCAGAGGCAGTTAGCAAGGCATCCCCAATAAAGGAGTGGTTCTGCAAGTGGTGACCACAGACCACTTCTCAGTTCCTATGCTTTCTGGCTGATGGTTTGGTCACTTTTGAATGCTGGTGGTGCTTCCACTCTAGTGGTAGCATGAGATGAGTCTACAACCCACACAAATGGCTCAGGTAGTGCAGCTCATCCAGGATGGCACATCAATGCAAGCTGTGGCAAGAAGTTTGCTGTGTCTGTCAGCGTAGTGTCCAGAGCATGGAGGCGCTACCAGGAGACAGGCCAGTAAATCAGGAGATGTGGAGGAGGCCGTAGGAGGGCAACAACCCAGCATCAGGACTGCTACCTCCGCCTTTGTGCAAGGAGGGACAGGAGAGCAATGCCAGAGCCCTGCAAAATGACTTCCAGCAGGGCACAAATGTACATGTGGCTGCTCAAATGGTCAGAAACAAGCTCCATGAGGGTGGTATGAGGGCCCAACGTCCACAGGTGGGGGTTGTGCTTACACCCCAACACCATGCAGGATGTTTGGCATTTCCTGCTCAAAAAAAATAAAGGGAACACAAAAATAAGACATCCTAGATCTGAATGAATGAAATAGTCTTATTAAATACTTTGCTCATTACATAGTTGAATATGCTGAGAACAAAAATCACAAAATCAATTATCAATGGAAATCAAATTTAGCAACCCATGGAGGTCTGGATTTGGAGTTACACTCAAAATTAAAGTGGAAAAAAACACTACAGGCTGATCCAACTTTGATGTAATATCCTTAAAACAAGTCAAAATGAGGCTCAGTTGTGTGTGTGGCCTTCACGTGCCTGTATGACCTCCCTACAATGCGTGGGCATGCTCCTGATGAGGTGGCGGATGGTCTCCTGAGGGATCTCCTCCCACACCTGGTCTAAAGCATCGCCCAACTCTTGGACAGTCTGTGGTGCAATGTGGCATTGGTGGATGGAGAGAGACAGGATGTCCCAGATGTGCTCAATTGGATTCAGGTCTGGGGAACGGGCGGGCCAGTCCATAGCATCAATGCCTTCGTCTCGCAAGAACTGCTGACACACTCCAGCCACATGAGGTCTAGCATTGCCATGCATTAGGAAGAATCCAGGGCCAACCGCACCAGCATATGGTCTCACAAGGGGTTTGAGGATCTCATCTCGGTACCTAATGGCAGTCAGGTTACCTCTGGTGATCACATGGAGGGCTGTGTGGCCCACTAAAGAAATGCCACCCCACACCGTTACTGATCCACTGCCAAACCGGTCATGGAGGATGTTGCAGGCAGAAGAACGTCCTCCATGGCGTCTCCAGACCCTGTCACGTCTGTCACATGTGCTCAGTGTGAACCTGCTTTCATCTATGAAGAGCACAGGGGGCCAGTGGTGAATTTGCCAATCTTGGTGTTCTCTGGCAAATGCCAAACATCCTGCACAGTGTTGGGCTGTAAGCACAACCCCACCTGTGGACGTTGGGCCCTCATACCACCCTCATGGAGTCTGTTTCTTTCCATTTGAGCAGCCACATGCACATCTGTGGCCCGCTGGAGGTCATTTTGCAGGGCTCTGGCAGTGCTCTTTGCATAAAGGCAGAGGTAGCAGTCCTGATGCTGGGTTGTTGCCCTCCTATGGCCTCCTTCACTTCACCTGATGTACTGGCCTGTCTCCTGGTAGTGCCTCCATGCTCTGGACACTACGCTGACAGACACAGCAAACCTTCTTGCCACAGTTTGCATTGATGTGCCATCCTGGATGAGCTGCACTACCTGAGCCACTAGAGTGAAAGCACCACCAGCATTCAAAAATGACCAAACCATCAGCCAGAAAGCATAGGAACTGAGAAGTGGTCTGTGGTCACCACCTGCAGAACCACTCCTTTATTGGGGATGCCTTGCTAACTGCCTCTGCTTTCCACCTGTTGTCTATTCCATTTGCACAACAGTATGTGAAATTGATTGTCAATCAGTGTTGCTACCTAAGTGGACAGTTTGATTTCACAGAAGTGTGATTGACTTGGAGTTACATTGTGTTGTTTAAGTGTTCCCTTTATTTTTTTGAGCAGTATATAATCGATGTATAATGTATAAGTGATAACAAAGCAATCAGGCCATATTCATAAAATCCCAATGACACATAATTTAGCAGAATCTGTGGATTATAATTAATTGTCTCTCTTTGTTCCAAGTTCTAAATCTTAGTAAATGATTCACTGCATGTCATTACAGCTTAATATTTGCATGAAATCACAGTTTAGTTGGCATAATTTAATGGCAATTAAAAACCTATTTAATCGTCATGCAAATTGGCACAAGGACCCTTCAGTATGAAGGGTGTCTATTTCTTAAGAAATAGACTGCAAGCTATCATTTCTACACTTTTAAACACTCCTACCACAATTTTCCAACAACAATTTTCCTGTTCATAGCAGTACAAATGGACAATAAATCATATTTTTGTTATAAACAAAATAAAATCCTCTATACGTTGATTAACTATGAAAATCATTAGCAAACTGTAATTTTTAAAAAAATAACTTGGGCATAATTTGGTATTCAAATGATATTTATACAGAAATAACAAAGATTGTGGTGGCATCATAGTGATTAATAAATTTATTCTGGGTTTCATTTCCATAGATTACAATTTATTTTGTCTATTCAATTTATTATATCCTGGGTTACAAACAAATATCCATATTTCTTAGTAGACGGGAAGTTAAAGAAATGAAATACAGAAAATATTGGCAGCACAACCAAATTATTATTAGTGGACATACAGAATTTTATGTCCAGTAAGATTTTTTAAAAATAGATTTTTATTAACAATAACCACTTCAAAATAATGACAGTATGTCTCCAGAAGCTGAACTCTATTAAATACTTATTAAATACTTATCATAAATGTCACATTTTTATCAATTTATTATTGTTGGACAAAACAATTAGGATCCAAGATAGCTTGAAACATTTTAATACCACAATTCCATGATTTTTTAGAATAGATGAGAAATTCATTGATATTTATATGTGAATAATTTGATTTTGGTTCTTATATCACAAAACATAATCATAGCAAAATTAACTTTACCAATGGGAAAAAGATTCATGAAAGTATAAACATATAGCATATGAACAATAAAATGAATTCATATTTACTTTTTCTGGGTTTTTTAAAAACTTTAAGTTCTTCATGTATACAATACATGGGCTTTTCTCTGCTTGCAGATTGGTTAATCTTTAGCCAAATTATGAGTGACAACTGCACAGTAGTTACAAAAGGCTTCAAAACTATCAATCATTTTGTCAAATCTCAGAACAGTCAATCCATATTTTATACCTGCTTTATCAGCTGCTAGATTCTGCAAGCCACATCATGAATGTGTTCTGAATTTGGCTACTACTTTTAATCTGATTTCATTCCTAGTTTTACATGTTTGTGTTTGCTTACTTAAATTCTGATGTTGTCCAATTACTATAGAATATTTTACATATATCATTGTAGGAGCACAAATGAACATTTTTCCTTTATATATTATATTTGTGAAGAAATTTTAAAAGGAGTTCTTCACAGCTTTTGTCTCATTTATTTCAGTATAATTTGATATTTATTTACCCTACGCAATTTGTTTTTGTAAATCAAGGCTGGAAGGTAGGTTTTGTGTGAACGTGCATGTTAATATAACAGATTGATACTTATGTAGATTCTTTGTCCTTTTGTAGGACCACCTTCTGCTCCGAGGAATGTCATCTTTAATATAAATGAAACAGCCCTTATGTTGGAATGGACTCCACCAAGTGACACCGGAGGGAGAAAAGACCTTACCTATAGTGTTATTTGTAAAAAATGTGGATCTGATACCAGCCAGTGTGAGATATGTGGAGGAGGAATCCGATTTGTTCCAAGACATAGTGGGCTTATCAATTCTTCAGTGACTGTGCTTGATTTTGTGTCCCATGCGAACTACACCTTTGAAATAGAAGCCATGAATGGTGTCTCTGAATTAAGCTTTTCACCAAAGCAGTTCACAGCCATCACAATTACCACAGATCAAAATGGTGAGTTTCTTTTTATTTGTGTGTCAGTTAGAGATTATACAATAAGACTAATAATATATTTCATGAATTATCATTAATAAATATGAAGAAAGTATGCTTGTACTTTTTCAAATTATTTACACTTCCATAGTCATATTTTGGGGGAAATAGTTGCAGGATACATAATCAGACAATTCATCAAAACAAGTCTAACTCATTTTTATTCAAGCGATATTGATTGACGTTTGTTTTTCTTTGGAAAAATCTATTTTTAACATTTTATTTTGTGTATTAATCCAGCAAATTTTGCTTGTCTATTTACTATCTTAGTACTAGTTTGTGACTTTAATTTAGGAGTCAACTACCAATCTATGACATAAGAAAAATTGCTCATATGTGCAAAACTACAGTTATTTAACACATTACTGCATGCTTCATTAATCTTATTTCACCAAAATTACTTTGGTAGTTCTATTTAAGCTGACAACAATATGTATATTCATGAGATTGTATTAATAAACATCAAATTAATAAATTTTGAAGATACTGTCAAATATGAATTTAGAGATATTTCTCAGTTGATCAAACAATCTTCTTACATATGCATGAAAATACAAAATATTCCATTGTTTATCTTATTGAGCAACAAAGGCATTCATAAAATCAAAAAACTCAAGCGGGAAGCTGTGATTATATGAAGACTTGCCTTTTTATATACCTGTACACATGTGGTGTATATAAAAAGATAGCAGGGCTTTTCTCATGTAATTATGGTTGCAATATTAACTTATTTTTCACTTTCATTTTGTACATCTCTTTTGGACAATAACATGTTTCACTAATATTACTACATCTACATGGGAGAGGTCTCTAGTTTCAAGAAGAACAATGACATTTTGTTAATCTGTATTTTTATCAATTTTAATATTTTTACTGTGGGTTTTATTATTTATGAATTATGTTAAATTTTGTTCAGCTTTTTTTTTTAGCTGAAGCTCTTCATTTTATTACTAATGGCTTGAGTTGCCTTCTTTGGTCAATGGTAGAATATAAATTAATTAGACAAAGGAATAATCTGAAGATCCACACATTGTTAAACAATGCCTGTTATTAACAATGCATGATAACTAATGTGTGAATCTAAATTGAAGTATGGCATTAAACTGCTTTAATCCCTTTATTTATTTTAATTTACATTTTTACATTCCTTTGTCTAATTAATTTATATTCTACCATTGACCAAAGAAGGCAACTCAAGCCATTAGTAATAAAATGAAGACTTTCAGCTGAAAAAAAAAGCTGAACAAAATTTAACGTAATTCATAAATAATAAAACCCACAGTAAAAATATTAAAATTGATAAAAATACAGATTAACAAAATGTCATTGTTCTTCTTGAAACTAGAGACCTTTACTTTATTTACATTTATATCAATTATAAAATATGTTTATATTCAAAATGTTTTTCTAACGTATAATATACTTTTTATTAGAACAACTGCAGATGATTAGCATTATTAAAAATAAATGCTATAAAGAACTAAAATAGTGAAGTATATAATTATTCAGTTAGCACTAAGAACTGACAATCCCTTTTTTCTGTTGTTCTGAATGTGTTGTCCAACGAAGTATGGGGAAATATTGTCATTGCATTATATACTAAGTAGAAATAACCAGTTTAATTCAAATATTTTCTGCACAAATGTTCTAATGATGTGCAGTAACAATAGTAAGAGGAGCAATTCTATAAAATGCAAGGTCATAAATGATGATACTGTGGGCAATTATTATTGAGTAACTAAAGAAATACTTAAAATATTAAACTCCTAGATATTTTTTCTGTTTGCACAAAATACTGTCAAACTAAAAGTTAGAGTTATATAGTGTGTTTTTATTTAAGTTGTACAGTTGAGATATTGAGCTGTCAACATCTATGATATAAAAATATCAGTGCCTTTACCTACATCTAGTGTGTTAGCTGAAGGAAACAATAAAATTGACAAAGAGAAAATAACCAATTCAAACTCCTAAACAGTTTGAAAGGGAGGCAAAGAACAGGAAGATGGGGCTGAATTTTCTGCTACAATGAATCTCAAGGTAATCAAAGGATACCCTAAGCCTTGAAAGCAGCCTCCTGTAATGTTAAGCTTTTCAGCTATTTTTAGCTAAACTCTTGAAGTCTTTGTTGGTTGTATGAAGACTGGTGAATAACTCTTTTATATGAATAGAATATTTACTCACATCTTAAATAATCATTGGTATCAAAGATGTGTTTGAAATCTTATTCTTGGACTCCAATCCAGACTCTTCCAGACCACGCAGGGAAAGGAAAGGGTAAAAAATTTGCTCTTCCACACATTGCAGCTTAAGTCCTGGATCAAAACTTCTAGACAAAGAGATCAGTAACCTTGTGCTGTGATGAACCTCGTGCTGTGGTAAAACAGAACAGCTTCAATATAGAAAGATTTATACAATCACTTATCTCCTTTTCCTAATATTCCTAACCCTTCGCTTTTCATCATATATCTCCACATAACTAATGTTGCAATAATAGAATGCTGTTTCAAAACTGTTAAGTTTGAGCAATGAGAGGCTGAACCAGAGCATGAGTGCAACAGTACTTTATTTACAAATAAAGGGCTGACCGTGCTTGCCAAGCCTGGAACTGGCTCGCAGCAATCAGCAGCCAGTTGGACCCCGCAGCCTGCTTTTATAGCTGGCTGCTGGGGAGAACTGACCAATGGGAATGGGGGAATAACGCCCACACAAGTGAGTGGACCTGAGTGAGAACTCCATGAGTCCTCAGGACATAACACCCCTTCCCCCCAGATGCGAACACGCATAGTCCTTGAGGTAGATGGGGGGTTTGTGTTGGCGCCCGGAGCGGCGCAACTCGGGAACATTGTCTGACTGTTCGGTATCAGTCTGTGACGGTTGAGCTGGCATAGTGTCGCCAACACTCTCTCTGGACTGGGCATCCTCGGGAACCACCGGGTTGGTTTCTGGAGTCAAACTCTCGTGGGTTGGATCCGGTTGATCAACTCTCTGGGCGCTGTTGTCCGGGTTTGGGCTGACCGGAACGACCGCTGGCGCAGGCTGGTCACTGGGTGCGATGTGGCTGGGTGGCGGATGGGACGGTTCCCCTTCGACTGGAGACTCTGGATTCTTGTTTGCGAGGTTGCTGAGGCGCCTTCTGAGTTGGTCTATGTGTCTCCTCCAGACGCGACCATCCTCCAGCCTGACTCTATATGATCTCGGCCCGGTGACGGCGATGACCTCGCCCGGAATCCAAAGTGGGTCCCCAGCGAAATTCCTTGCGAATATCGGCTCCTGTAACATAAAATGTCTAACCCCCGAAGTGGAAGCGAGGGGAGAGTCAGGGCAGTATTGTGGGTGCAGTCTATCTAATACAGTCCTCAGGCGCCGGCCCATCAGAAGTTCCGCTGGGGACTTATTGGTGACTGCACAGGGGGTTGAGTGCTGGCTCATCAGGAACCGTGAGAGTTTGTGGTGCCAGTCATCTCTGCCAAACCTAGCGAGGGCCTCTTTGGTGGTCCTGACGGCCCTTTCAGCCAACCCATTACTCGCAGGGTGAAATGGGGCTGTTAAAATGTGGCGAATACCTAGGTTGGCTGCAAAACGGCTGAATTCTACTGATGCGAACTGTGGGCCATTATCGGAGACCAAGGAGTCGGGTAGTCCATGGGTAACGAACAGGCGCGTTAACACGTTGGTGATTGCTAGTGTGGTGGTCGTGGATAGCTGCGCCACGTCTATCCACTTGGAATAAGCGTCCACGACCACTAGGAACATCTTTCCATGCACGGGGCCGGCCAGATCGATATGGATTCTAGACCAAGGGGCGCTGGCGCTCTCCCATCTGGTAGGGGTGGCGATGGGGGGAGCAGGACGGGATTCCTGGCAAATGCTGCAGGAACTTACCCAATTGACAATGTCCTCGTCTAGACCCGGCCACCACACGTAGCTGCGTGCCAACGCCTTCATTCTCACAATGCCGGGGTGTCCCTCGTGCAACGCCTCCAGGACTCGGGTACGCAGCGAGGTTGGAATGATCACTCGAGTGCCCCACAGTAGACAACCCTGCAAACTGGACAGCTCCTGCATGCGAGTCTTAAAGGGTGCAAATTTGTTATCAACATTGCCTCCCGGCCACCCCCTCCTCACCCAGTCGAGCACCTGGGCGAGCGTTTGGTCTGCCTTGGTTTTGGCGGCGATGTCAAGGGCGGTGATGGGCAGGTCCAACTGGGTGATTTCAAAAATGGCATTGACAGGAGCTGGGTCTTCAGCTGGAGCGGGTAAGGGGCAGCGACTGAGTGCGTCAGCGTGGGATAGAGTTTTGCCCGGGCGGTGGATAAGTTTGTATGAGTAGGCCGCTAGGAAAAGCGTCCACCTTGTCATCCGAGGGGAGAGGACTTGAGGTGTCTGTTTGTCGCCGGCCAGTAGGCCCAGGAGGGGCTTATGGTCGGTGACCAGTTCGAAGAAGTGGCCAAAAAGGAATTCGTGAAACTTTTTCACGGCTGCAACAGCTGCTAGGGCTTCCTTGTCTATTTGGCTGTAATTTCGCTCCGTGGCCGAGAGCGTCCTGGAGAAAAAGGCGATGGGGGCCTCGGCGCCATTGGCGAGTCGGTGACTAAGGACCGCCCCAATTCCAAAAGGGGATGCGTCTGCTGCCAGTACTAAAGGAAGGTTGGGGTCGAACTGGATGAGCACTGCCTCTGACGTAAGTAGTGATTTGACGGCGTTAAACGCCTGGTCTTCTTTGTGCCCCCAGTGCCACGGTGACTTTTTGTCTAGTAATCTGTGTAGGGGTTCGGCTACTGAGGCTTTATGGGGCAAAAAGGATGCATAAAAGTTTAGGAGTCCCAAGAAAGCTTGTAGCTCCGTTTTGGAGGTCGGTGTGGGAGCTTCGTGGATCGCCCTGACCTTGGACTCCAGGGGGTGAATGCCAGAGGCGTCAATTTTATAACCCAGAAAGTCCACCTGTCTAGTGGCAATGGCGC